TTGGGGTGCTGAGAAACGGATCAGCCGTCAGTGATGTATCAATGGGTCGTGACGCTGTATGTGTTAACTTCAGGGTTAACTCGCGTCTTTGAATCCCATCTTCTTGGCGTCCCGTTTCCTCGCTTTTGCGCCGCAGCGAAAGACGTAATGGATCAGACATTTTGTAGTTACTTCTGTTCCATGTGCCTCTCGCTAACAGGATGTGTGATCATCTTCGGTGTTCCTCTGCGTTTCCCTCTCTGCCGGTGTGGAGAAGTCTCTCTCTGCACTTCACTGGCGCTGTTTCTCCAGCTTCTCCGTCTCTGAGCTCGTTCTCCCTCTCCTCCCCCACCTCCTGTGACCTGGGGCGGCTCAAGATAGTGTCGTAGTTTACTAATAAGAGAGGTATTTGAGTTCTGGGCTGTTAAACAAAGTGGGAGAGATGTCCAGCTCTGCTCCTCCACGCCAATCGCAGTGAGGATATGGCAGCAAACGGTTCTCAGCCCCCTGGAGTGCAGAGGTTTCCTTCTAAATTGAAAAATATTGAGCTCTACACTTGTTGCCCTGTTTTGCAACACATTCCTGTGTTGGGGGGTCCTAGAAACAGGACTGTCAGTGCTTGGAGTGACTGATGTCCTGCTTTTATTCCCCACCACCACCACCACCACCAGGAGATGTCCCAAGTCCCAGCTTTCACATATTTGAATATTACTTGAGAGGCTCAATTCCTGATGAGGTGTGTTGCTTCACTCATTCTGCTTACAGACACGATTGCCGAATTGCAATATTCTACCTTCAACGTAGACGTTTCAGCTCTGAAGTTCTGTGCTAATTCCCACCAATCATTTTGTTTTGTTCTTCTTCTGTAACTCGGACAAGCCCCTGCTAATGGGTGATTTCTGAGTCCTACTTAACAGCCAGTGCTAGGACCCGTTGCAACAGACTGAGGAACTCTGAGGAACCGTGATCATTAATACAATAAACAACTTGGCAAACGCTCAGGCACATGTGTGAGTCGAGATGAAATTTTATCTCATAGCGAACGTGATACTGCCGAATGTTGTGTTCCAGGAAAAAAGAAAAGTATCGTACATCAGATGGGGGTAGATCTTTGGAGTTGCTTATTGTTGGAATTTTTTATTCAGAGGAAACAGAGAAACGTGAGCGCTGTTTGGCTGTTGTGTACAGACTTGTTTATAATAGATGATGGTGTGATTTTTCATTAGCGCAGCACTGTGACCTTTTTGTGTCTTGGAGTAGATTGTAGTGTGCCTTGCTGTATGCCAATGCATGCTTCTTCCAAGACAGACTTGGAAAGACACTCCTTTTCATCTGATACTGTGTATTTTCATATCTGGGAGATCTTGAAAGAGTATAAAACACGTAGCTGAACATGCTGAAAACCCAGCAGGGTGCAGAAAGAATGAGACCTTCAGCTTAATGTAGTGTTTGTAGACGCTATGGAGAGATTAAGACTATTTTCACCTCTCTGTCCAACATAAGTTCAAGTTCAGCAGGATTTGGAGTGAGAGGAAATCTTTTAGGGTCCAGGAAATAGGGAAAATGTGAATCTGGAAATGTACTTAACATAGACAAGGAATACATACTTGGGAATGCATGTTAGGCTGCTTATAATTATAATAATAGGGAGATTAATACTAAATGTCACGACACTCCAGACACCTGGAGCTGACTGTCCTTGTGTTTGGTGTTTTGCGTTATCTATCTTTCTAGTTGACCTGAAAACATTTTGAAAAGGTAGGTTGTTGCTCACTACTTTTTGATTCTATTAGCAAAACCAGCTAGGGTGCGAACTCTAGTGTGAGGTGAATAGAAGTATATCTAACCCTTTCCTCCGCTACTGGTTTAATTTCAGAGTTTTTGTTTTCCACAGTTTAAGTTAAAAAAAAATCTTACCACGTCCTCCCGGTCGCAACTCACCATGTTCCGAAATCTCCACGGCCTGTGAAAAAGAACACAAGTCTTGAGGGCATATCTGCCCAGGAATGTGCGCACACAGAAATGGTCGCAGTGTCTGCTTTTTGTTACAAGCAGAGAGCCGTTAACATTACCGGTGCCATACAACACCAGGCTTTGCAGCTACACACACACACACTGCAGTCTGCCCCTGCTTGTTTTCTGTGGAGGTCGTTAATGGTTCAGGAGCCACAAGCCACCACAGCAGAAATGAAACATAATTTATTGCCACAGAGCATCCCTGCTTTTCCTCTTGTAATTCAGTATGCCAAGCGCGCTCGCCAAAGAGCCGGGTAATGAAGTCTGAGTACCCCATTCGGCTGCGTTTAACCAGACTGACAGTGGCGGAGCCGGACTGAGACCGGCCAGCCCTCTCCCCGTGGGGAAATTGTGCGCTCGGCTGTAGGACTGCATGTCGGTGCTGCAGCTTGTGGTTGTAATGTGAGGCGGCCCTTGAAGTTGAGCTCGTGACCGATTACGGCAGCCACGCTGATGAGCTAACCTTAAAACTGGGAGCACAATAGGGCGTGAGGTGAAGCACAGAGACAGTGACTCAGTGCCTCACTTTATGAGGTTTGTCTGCTTTGCGCATTAACGTCGGATGCTCAGATTGTCAGGGAGTGAAACGTGAGCTGCATTTACTCGGACTAATTAAAAGTCGCTGCTTAGGCTGGGTCTGTTGGGTGATTTTGTTTCCTAAGGCTGTTAAATGATCCGATCAAGTAAAAGCTACAGGCTACTGTGTTGATGAAATTCTTGTGTATGAGGGATTAATTTGGGTTAATTAAACTTCCCTTTATGATATCGAGAAGACATCCTTTTTCCTTGATCGTTGATTTCTGTTAATTGTTTTGCGCCAAGTGCCATTTAATCAGGGCAAGCTGTTTCAGGTCTTCCTCTGTGTCAGATTTTTGTCCTTTAACTCTGGAAAACAAGTGGGGTTTTCATTGTGGCATTGCCCATTGTGATTTAGAGAAGTAACAATGTTAAACGCCTTTTGTTGATAAACTGTAAAAGTTAATTACATCTTTAGAAAGTCCTAACACTATGTAATATTTTTGAGTACAAACTCAAAACAATATCAACAATCACTGCTTTGTCCTCTCCATTTCAGTGGCCAAGGAGGATGTTGAAATGTGTGTTTGTGAATACTAAATTGTTTGTGGCTCATTTTGTTGTGCAAACGTCTGTAGCAGCTGTTACTTGTTTCTGCACAACTGACAGGCACAGACTTACTTTGTTAGCTGTTGTTTTCTGTACTTCATTTTCTCTGGTTTTATTGAATGCAAGACATCAAAAATAAACAAAGTACTGACGCAACGGTGATCATGCAGAATCTCCAAGTCCCTGTCTCTGTATTATTTCACCCATTGACATCCTCAGCTCCTTGAATTATACCCAAGCTAGAAAAGAAGACAAATACTTGCCAACTAGAGACAGTAGAGCAAAAGAAATATATGCAGAATGACTGGAATTAGATCCTTGAATGTCTTTCCACCTTTGTGAAATAACCCACATTGCTGAGGACTCGACACACTCTGCCTGAGGACTATTCGAGGGAGATATGTAAAGAAAAGCTGGAGCCTCTAGTATCGAGAGAGATTAGAAATATTTAGAGAGTTGGTGAGGAGGAAGTCAGCATTTAACAGTCTGTTAATGAGCAGCAGCTGTACACCAGCCCAGGTTAATGTTCGAAAGGAACAGAGTCGGCTACAAGAGAAAACATCTCCCCGCAGGGGCAGAGATTGTCGGTTATCTGTCCCCAGAAATGTCTCCGGCACTTTGAATCCAGAACTGAAAAGGGTAGAGGGCTGCTATGCTGTTGGACGAGAAACGGCTCTCCCAGCCTTCTCCAGACAGCACTGTAAAGAGATCTAAACGTGTGGCAGTTTGGAGAGCTATGAAGAGAACCGTGTTCAGCACTAGGGGAGGTTTGCTGGAGGCATGCTGTCGTGCGGCTCATAAGGACTGCCATCGGCTTGTGACTCCTAGAACCCCCTGTTTGTTCTGCTATGGTTGTTCACTTTGGAATATCAGGAATGTTTTTCCGTTCATCTGCCAGCGTCATGTCCTTTGAGGAAGCAACCTGGCGCACAGCCACGCACGTGATCGCTCGATGCGATTGTAGTGCCGGGGGCCTCTTCAGTGGCGCAAGAGGACGATCCATCCCAACGCAGCCCGAGCTCTCTCCTCCTAGCCGAGGTGCTGGTGCTGCTCCAACCACCGAGGGCTCGTTAAGCAATTGAGCGTTCGGGAAAGCCGTCGTTTCAGCGTGCGCACAATTATCTTCTCCACGTTAATGAGACCTTGGCAGAAGAGCTTTAATTAACTAAAGTTGTGGATCAGATGCTCTCCACATGAGCAGCTGTCGGTGTCTGAAGGCCAAATTGCCCAGTTTGTTTTAAATCATCACACACTTGGCAGTGACTCCAGCATAACATTTTAGGCCTTTTTCAGTCTTATGAACCTGTATGTTCAGTACAACACGACATTACTGCATGAAGCTGCTGTATGTGCTTTATAGTATACAGGTATATAGTTGTTTCATGTGGTGTGTATATATATTACAGCCTGTGATATATTTGTTCAGTTAGCATTTTTGTCATATGATAGTAGTGTGTAGATACTACTTCATATATACAGTTGCATCTATGTAGTAGTTGAAGAATTATCGAATCAAAATGCTTTGTAAAAGGCACCTGTAAGGTCACAGCCAACCCAAAGAAAACCAAATGAAAAGTTTTTTTCTGAAAAGAAATGTTTTTTGGCATGGGGCCCAGCAGTTTGGAAAGCAGGAAGACCTGAGGCATGTGTCTTGGCGGTGTGGTGTGAGATCTGAGTTTTGAGGGATTGGTGAAAATATCTCGTGAGAATCGTGGAGGTATTTCGGTACACGTACCCGCAGTTGCAGATTTGACCAGATGAAAAAGCTTTCTGATGGTGTTATCTTGTACTTTTTGAATTTGTCGGCGGATCGTGGAATATTTCTGAGTTAAGATGTAACACATTTTTTATTGATCCGTTTCTTTTTTTTTTTCCCCCAGAAGCTCTCCAGCGACCAGATTTTGAGCCCCAGGGCCTGACGGAAGCTGCTCGTTGGAATTCGAAAGAAAACCTCTTGGCAGGACCTAGTGAAAATGACCCTAACCTGTTTGTTGCACTGTACGACTTTGTAGCAAGTGGGGACAACACCCTCAGCATAACTAAAGGTGAGAAGGACTTTGGCTTTACTTCATCCCACCTTATGGATTTCTTTGGAATACCAGGAGATACAATATTGGGTTACCTAAATAATACAATAATAATAATAGTAATAATCATTATCACACTTATATAGTGCTTTTCTGGACACTCAAAGTGCTTTACGGGAATTGGGGATCCCCTCCACCACCCCCATTGTGCAGCCCCACCTGGATGATGCGCCAGTCCTCTCCCACAAACCAGCTCTCAGTGGGGAGGAGAGCAGAGCGATGAAGCCCGTTCAGAGAGGGGGATTATTAGGAGGCCATGATGGGTAAAGGCCAGGGGGAAATTTGGCCAGGACGCCAGGGTAACATCCCTACTCTTTTCAGTTCACATCTGTTTTACATCTCCTTTGAAGGACAGCATCTTTTTTGTAGCCTAGTGTCCCCGTCACAGATAGGAGGGGGAGCTGAAGCGCAGGACCCATCTTGTTCCGGCAGGTCATCATTCTGCGGATCAGGTGCAGGCGTGATTTTAACAATTGACACCAGCAGGGCAGTTTTATTAGGTTAGACTGAGACCGCATGAAGTGAAACTCGGCCTGGGCGGTTTCATCAGAAATGACTAGTGATCGCAAGTAGCCAGCACCTTGGTTCTATCCAAAAAACACGTCACACGTTTTGTAACCATACAGGGTTGCAAATTTCTGCTCCCTTAACAGCGCGTCCAGCAGCACCATGCCTTTTCGTTCAGGGCGTCCCATCTCTGGGCTCCCTCGCTCCAGCCTTGCTTTGCTCCCGAGATCTGATGCGATCGGGCTTTGATGCGGAATCGCTGCCTAATTTAAATTCTGCTCTACAAATACACAGTTCACATAGCGAGTCCGCCTTTGAGAAGACGACAAGAGTCGTTTTTTTGGTTAAAGATTTGAGAATTGTAGGTTTTTGTTCTGGCGGAATTATTCGTTTCGAATCGATCGGCATTTGAAGGTCAGTTCGCAGCTGTGTTCTCCCACTTCAGGCTCTGGCACTTCACGAGCGGCAGGAAAGCCACATGTGTCCGATCCCTGACAACAGAGCCTGGAAATTGTTCCGTTTTGCCTTTTTTCTTTTCCGCTGCGTATTTCCTCTCTTCCATGAAACGAGAAAGTTTTTCCATTTCACACAAAATGACCGCATCCAGAAGAGACACAGGCAGCGGCTCTGGAAACACAATTTGCTGAGCAGCTTTGCCGGTCTGAAATGGGGCGGGTGGGGAGGGGGAGGTGATCTCACGAAGTGTGGGTTGGAAATTCATTATAGTTAAGGAGCGAAGGGTGAAATAAAATGGAAGAAAAGGAACGTATTGCACGGAAATGGTGTATCTTATTCCACAGAGCCTACACAATTTAAAGTTATAAAGGTTTTTAATGATTCTAAGCTACAAAGTGCAACCACCTTCTTGTAAGTCACCAGCTCACCTTGTTGCACAATGGTGAGTAACAATTTGTTACCTTTACTCTCTTAATTATCCAGCACACAGGTTGACAGTGGAACTGAATGCTGACTTGTCCAATGGGTCGTGTCAGGTGCAGTAGATAAGTCAAATTAATAAGACTTTGTAGACTTGCGCTACGTTGGAATGGGCCACATCAGTCATTTGTAATCGGTTCTAAAACGGAACAGAGTGCACAGTCGATGTATAATATCCAGACTGCCTCTGTCTTGTTCTCTAAGGTCTTTCCTGTTAACAGCCTCCCTGGGCTGCTAGTGAGTGTTTTTCGTCAGCAGAGGCGGTCCAGGTGATAGTTACGTATTTCTAAGAGGGCTTTGTTGGAGCAGCGGTGATCCGTCTGAAACGTCTGGGTGTGACGCAGTCATGATGAAGCAGCAGCAGCAGCTGTGCGAGGAGCAGACAGTGATGTCATGCCGACTGAATGAAGGAAGGTGCCTGTTGCACGTGGTAACCAAGCGCTTGCTTGCGTGAGCAGGTTGAAAGCTGAAGAGCCGTTAGAAGTTATACCTGAAATCTGGCGGGGGAAGACCCAATTTCTCAGGGGGTTACCAACTTCATGACTTATCAAAATGGTTTGATTGTCTTTAAATAATTAATAAACAATCCCAGGGCATTTCTCGAAAAAAAGTCATGGCCTCCTCATAGTCCTCATTTATGAACTGGCTCCATCACTCTGTTCTCCTCCCCGCTGAGAGCTGGTGCGTGGGGAGCGGACTGGCGCACTGTGGCTGCCATCACATCATCATGGTGGGAGCGGCACATTGGTGGTGGTGGTGGGATTTTCCATTCCGTCTATAGCGCTGGGAGTGGAGTGTCCAGGAAGCCGCTACGGAAGTGTGAGGAATTATAATTGATATAAACCCGGCGGGGCTGTGTTTCATGGCCTGATCGGATACCCCTCTGGTGTGAAACAGGAGAGAAGCTCCGGGTTCTGGGCTACAACCACAATGGGGAATGGTGTGAGGCGCAGACCAAGAATGGGCAAGGCTGGGTGCCCAGCAACTACATCACGCCGGTCAACAGCCTGGAGAAGCACTCCTGGTACCACGGCCCCGTGTCGCGCAACGCCGCCGAGTACCTGCTCAGCAGCGGCATCAACGGCAGCTTCCTGGTGCGGGAGAGCGAGAGCAGCCCGGGCCAGCGGTCCATCTCGCTGCGCTACGAGGGCCGGGTCTACCACTACCGCATCAACACCGCCTCCGACGGCAAGGTCAGTCCAGGGACTGAGGGCCCAGGGAATGCTGGGAATGGAGGGGGGGGCAGGCCTGTTCAGCAGCGTCTCTCTCTCTCTCTGCTGGTTGGAACCAGTTGATCCAAGGAGAGCCTACACCTGTTCTTGGGGGATCCTGGTGGCACAGAGCATACAAACACAGATAGCACCCCAGGTCTGGAATTTGAACCCACTGCGTGCGAGTGGGTCATATGAAGTGTAATTTGGGCGAAAGGTCTAAATCCTCACGCAAAAAGCTTGGCGTTTGCGGAGTTTTAACGATTGCCAAAGGCAATGGGGTTTACAAGTTGAGAAACGCGGTGCTTTAGGTTTACGAGTTATTCAGCTGCAGGAAGACAAAGACCAGACACTGGACCTCACTGCTTTTGTCGGTGAGGTGCTGACGGCTGAGCGTTTTATTGAAGGCTGAATGCTTATTAGGAGCCAGAGTAATTGCAGTGCTGGAGCTCATTAAGGTGGAGACCCACACTGCTTTGCAGACTGGCCATCTCCGAGACCCCAGCAGACTGGCTAGCCAGGTTATCCATTACTCATCCCAGTCTGCAGCTTGGAATGCGTCTCGTGAGGAGCAGATTTAATCCCAGAGGACTGAGGGGATTGCTAGGAGAGGGAGCCTTTAGATTGCTGGAGTCATCATCGCCTGGTAGGAATGTGCATCTCTCTCTCAGGGATATCCATCATACCCTTCATCCTACCATCAAGCTTTAATTCGGTTGTGCCTGAGCTGTTAGCTTCCTGGGGCTGCAGTTCCAATTTCTGAGGGGATTATTAACTTAATGACTTATCAAAATAGTCCAGATTCTTGCTTTATTAAATCGCAACCCCGCTGTTGTGGTTTCTGTTTGGGAAGAATGCATGATCAGTAAGTGAGGAATGCTGGCAGGTCCATGAAGATCATCGTGTAGTGGTACAGTGCCTGTATGTCTGCATTGGTCTTATTTCTATGCAGTTTTATTATGCATTTCCTAGAGCTGCAATAATAATCCATCTCCAGCAGAAATATAGCGATGGGACAGTTCATCCCAGTTTGACCTAGTTTTGTGCTCAATTTGATCAGCCTCCAGCATAATAAACCTATTGATCATGTGCTCTTGGGTTGCTGTGAGTTGCAGGAGATGGGTTGCTGTGTCTGCAGAAGAGGCAGGTAAGATTGAAAACTGTCAGACTGTGCCAAGTTTCAGCAATGAAATGAAAGCTGCAGAAGTTAGTTGTCCAACGAGAAGCTTTTTTAGCCGAGATGCGAGGGGTTGAAGGGGTTTCCTCTCGCTGTGGGACGCTGTCTTGCCCCCACCAGCGAGAGAATGAGAAAAGAAGAGGCCGGTCTGGAGAAATGTAGTCGTGGGTCTTGGGGTTCTGACCCGGCGCGCCCCGCTCCTCCCCCACAGCTCTACGTGTCCTCCGAGAGCCGCTTCAACACGCTGGCCGAGCTGGTGCACCACCACTCCACGGTGGCGGACGGCCTGATCACCACGCTGCACTACCCCGCGCCCAAGCGCAACAAGCCCACCGTCTACGGGGTGTCGCCCAACTACGACAAGTGGGAGATGGAGCGCACCGACATCACCATGAAGCACAAGCTGGGCGGAGGGCAGTACGGCGAGGTCTACGAGGGAGTCTGGAAGAAGTACAGCCTCACCGTGGCCGTCAAGACCCTCAAGGTACGCCGGGGAGAGACATCCGGGACCCCCCAGTCCTTGGAGAGTTCTGAACGATTCGGAATTTCGACTTGTTTTGGGGGGGCCTAATCAGCCGCCTATCCAATCGTTGTCCGTTATTTTAGTTACAGATGGGAAGTTAGGGCTCTCGCAGACGGAAAACCAGCAGTCGCCCCCCTCCCTTAACTGCGGGGGGACAGCAGGTGGAGTCTGGGCCCTCTTGTCAGCCAAGCAGAGGCCCAGGCTGCTGGGGATACCCAGATAAATGACTGCTCGACCTGCTAAACAAAATCAAAGAACTGCCATGGGTAGAATTATGCATTCGTTGCCTTCTGCCATCTGAGATGTTGTTTTACTCCAAGTGGGATTAAAACGAGAGAGTAGGATTGTAAGAAAACTAGGAATTGCTCACGGAAGAGCATGCGATTCTAAGAAAGCAGAACATGATACTGTGTCACCACCTACTGTCGACTTTGAGTACTTGCAACCTGGTTTCATCTACTGGCATGATACAAATCTGTTTAAATTGAAACTCCTTGTGTGTTGTGGCCAGGGTGACCAAATATCTTTGTTAACTGGGACTGGGCAGATTTTTCAAACTATCTTAAATGTAAAAAGACTTAAATACATAAATTCAGCATTGTGCCTTTGCTGAGATTAAAGGCACATAAAAACAAAAATTGACATTGTGCTTTTAAACAAATCCCTACCTCTTAGCTCAGATGTTCACGTGGCCTGATAATAGACGACAGCTGATCAGTCTCGCAAATTGACTGTGCACAGGCTTTAAGCACAGAATTCCTGCTCTGCAAAGTTGTAAAGCTGAGTTTACAGATGGATGTCTATCGATGTAAGGGCATTAGCAATATTGTCCGGTCTCAAACAGTCCCAATGAACAGCTCTAGCTGTAGTAAATACGTAATCTGGTAGATAAGCATTGCTCTGATTACCTGAAATGCAAGTTCAGATTGTACTACCATACAAATATCTGTGATTAAAAGCCGTTCTTTCTATTTTCTTTAAAAGTAGTGAAGTGTTACATTGTTGCAATGTGTTTTTTTTTCTTTTTTAGGAGGACACGATGGAAGTTGAGGAATTTCTGAAAGAGGCTGCCGTGATGAAAGAGATAAAGCACCCTAATCTTGTGCAGCTACTCGGTAAGGCATCAAGCCTTTTAATGAACCTCCTTGCTTCTTGTCAAATGCGGTACTAGGAAAATCTTATACGTTGCATCTCTCTGTAAAAATTAGACTGTATCACAAAATTCTAGACTTAAGTAGATCACTGTCCAGGAGTTGCAAACCCACATGTGTGTTATTGAACAACCTGAGTTTTCTGTTACAACATCTTGTTAGACGTAGGCAGTTTCTGAGAAGCCATCTGAAATTAATTTCACGCTTTTCCGCTGTGAGGTAGATGTTTTTTTTTTTTCATTGCTCAACAATACTTTTGTTGTGTTGAAACATGTGATTCTTTGCTGTATCGGAGTCCCATCGCTGCATGGACTTAAACCAAGGATCTGTCAGAAGGTAGATGCTGTCACGTTGGCTTCTTGGGTTTCAGCCTTTAAAATATTTCAACAGGAAGAGTTTCTACAGAAGGAATTTGCGTAGGCGTCTGTGAATTAACACCCCCCCCCTTCCCTTCTCCCCTCTTGAGTTTGGAGCCTTGCGAGCTTTTTGTTTTTCAGCCTGGAGGGGATCACATGCTGCCTTTGTCCAATTCAGTTGGGATTTTTTTTTTTAAAGCGCAAAAAAAACATTTCAGCAAGAGAAAAAAAAGTTTTTAGCTGCGTCATTGATGGGTTCCAACCTCTGTCAGCACAAAGACACATTTCAAGGTCACTGGGAATCGGGAATGCGAATTTTGAGAGCCGATCGGTTTGGCATTTCAGTTCTGCGGTTCTCTGAAAAACCCCACAGATGGTTTAACGAGGCAAAATAGGCAGAGAGCCACTGAGTAGGCTGGGTGGTATTTGGGGGGGGGGGGGGGGGGGGGGTGCTGCTGGATTTTGGGGGTACGAGAGGGATTGTCCGGACTTGAGTGAGACGTGCTTCGGCCCCCTCCCCCCCCAGCGGGTGCAAGGTGTTGTGGGACGCACGGCGAGTCGCATCCGGGAACGGATCGACGCTCCCCGGTGGGCGGAGCTGATTTTCTTGCTTCAAGCGGATAGCGGCGGGTCTCGGTCCTGGTGGGCCGGCGGCGTCTCGGGCTCTCCCCCTCACCCCCTCACCCCACCCCCCACCGTTTCTCACCACGCGTCCTGCCCCCGTGTCTTTGTGCTGGGCGCGACAGGCGTGTGCACCAGGGAGCCTCCCTTCTACATCATCACGGAGTTCATGACGCACGGGAATCTGCTGGACTACCTGCGGGAGTGCAACCGCGCGGAGGTGAACGCCGTGGTGCTGCTCTACATGGCCACGCAGATCTCCTCCGCCATGGAGTACCTGGAGAAGAAGAACTTCATCCACAGGTCAGTCTCCCCAGAGGCCCAAACGCGCCCTCCTTTAGAAGATTTTGTTTTCCACAGAAGCACATTGCTAGCCATCGAGGGAGAAAAAAGTCCCCCTGTATCTCGTACTTCCGAGAAAATCATGACGTTCTTTAATGGGCGTTAATCAGGCTTTCGGTTTTAAGCAGAAGAATCCGTTCTGAAAGCGCCGTTCTCGTTTGAGGGTACGTGCGAGTGTCCCCTTGGTTAAAACGGTTTACATGAGGTACAAACCCCAGGGGGAGGTAAGTCTGTGTGCATTCTGCAGCGTCGCACAGTGAAAAATAAACACACAGTTCCAGCTAAGCTGTCGGTACCTTGAAGGTCCTGTTTGTATCTTCTGAACGGTTTTTCCTGCCTGCAGGGACCTTGCTGCCAGGAACTGCCTGGTTGGGGAAAACCACTTAGTGAAGGTGGCTGACTTCGGGCTGAGCCGGCTGATGACGGGGGACACCTACACAGCCCATGCGGGGGCCAAGTTTCCCATCAAGTGGACTGCACCAGAGAGTCTGGCTTACAACAAGTTCTCCATCAAGTCTGACGTGTGGGGTCAGTGGAACAGCTTTAGTGCATCGTTTGCAGAATGTCTCCGACCGTTAAATTAGGGGTAGTTCCCGCAAATTATCGGTACTTCTTAACTGCAGGGCTTATAATAAGAACAGGTGCACGTTGTAGTCATATTCCATAAAACAAAGATAAAAGGGTCAAGATTTTATTTTGGGCTCTGGATACAAATGCAGATGGTAAAAGGGTAAAGGAAGGTTAATGAAGGCGTCAACTCAGTGTTGAGTTATAGATTCGATGCCAGAGGTTTGGAAACAGGACACTGTTGGAGCCATTTTCTCATATTTCTGAAGTAGAAAGTGACTTAACAAAAACGGAATGGGAGCTGACGACGGTACAGGTTTTGTTTTCCGAGATGATCTCACCCCGGCCTCCCCAGAGA